ACAAGGAGAGAACTTCAATTTACAAGAATACTTTTTTTTCCTACTCTTTCTTTCTTTCCAATCTAATTCGTTCTCCTTTCCTCCAATCTATCTATTCCTTCATTTTCATAGAAATCGGATCAATGAAGAGATTAGGGGAATATTCCATATGTCGACTCTAACACAAATGAGAAAATAGGATTTTCATACATGTTTACATCATCTGTGTGAGATTCCTATGAAGACATCCCAAATTGTAGAGCTATTTGTATGGTTTCTTGCTCTTTGGAACAAGTTAGGTAGCCATCCCATAATACCCAGGGCTTTTCTAAAAGGTTCAGACAGGGTGATGCAAGGGTCTTCCAAGTGCATTTGAAGCCATTGCTTATCAAATGTTAAAGTCTCAATGTATTGTTCTATGCTTGTCTAGGCTGACCTTGGACAAATCTGAAAAAACTAAGCAAGGTTAGTGCTTGGATAAGAAAATGCCCAAAAATACAGAAAAGTAAACTGGATGGGAAGTTAGGAAAACATCTGTATTGTTGCCAGGATAAAAACATAGACAGACCCATGGGCACCAGGAATTAAATTTGATCTAAGAGAAATATAAATATTAAATAATATAATATTATTGGCATGGAATAACTGCACCTGCCCAAAGAGTTTATTTAATCGGTAGTTTGGCCACTTCATAGGCAGTGAGAGGAAGTTTCATCTTAAAACTGCAGATTACATCATCCTTGTTTCATTAGTCATCTGAACCAACTTCTAATATCATATATTCCTTCCCCCTCCTGTGTCTATGGTTGCAGCTCTGTGCCTCAACCTCCAAGAAGACAAAGCTCTTATAGTGTTGTTAAGGCCCAATGGCAACCTGCTGCTATGGTAAACTTCAAGTTATTTTCATTACATCTGGGATGCAATACAGAGGTCAAAATAGTCATCATTAAGAGATAAATCTGGCCTTGGACACCACAGAATGTTTTGCTGTCTGAAATTCATCTAGGTATCTTCTGTTCTCATTCTCACAATAGTAAACACATCTAGAATCTTTCAATCTTAAATAAATGACTAGAGAAAAATGCTACAGAAAAAACACGTCAGTGCACAGGTGTAAATAGGTGTATTAGTAATTAGTGGGAGCTTGGTCAACCTATGGAAACTTTTGTAAAGTCACTATATTAAAACTTTAGGCTGACTACAAATAAAAAGTTTATCCAGATGCATAGTCAAGAATAGTTGAATGACATGGAATAATCAAAACAACTAAATAGCCCAACTACTGTTTTTAACATGAAATATGAATTATTATTTTTTGTAAATTTGCATCGTGGTGCCTTTGCACCTCTTAACTTTTTATGACACTAAATTCTTTTTTATGCAGTCAGACTGGGGTGCCCATTCAAGGTAGCCTCCATCAGAGTCCACTATATTTGATACTCTCCTTCCAGTAGATGTGCAATTGCAATAGTAAAACAACCAATATTATTTGGAAGAATTAAAAAGCAAAAAAAAAATTTCATTCCAGACAGAAGAAAAGGAAAGCCATGAAAACAGATTGAATAATGTACAACATCAAATACTGAAACAAATGAATTTCAGAAAACTGGGAATTTCAGTGAAATAATATAGCATTGTAACAAGGATTGTAATGATTTTCCTTTCTGTGGAACTGGGCTTCCTTCTCATAATTCTGTTACAAAGATGGCCTCTTCTTGTTCTCTGGAACCACAGGAACTCTACTCCATATTGACATGTGAACAAAACACAGTGAGAATTCCTGATATTGATCTCTTTCCCCTACACTTTTGCAAAGACTGTTTTGCTGAATTGTAGAGGACAGACCAGCTTGAATCTTTAACCAAGTATATTTCTTCCCTTATTAGGGGCGCAGTGGGGGGGGGGGTGGCAGTGGAAAAGAGAGAATATTTTTGACAGTAGCTTGAGGCAATAGGAAGGATTACTCTATTCCTCCTCACTGCAATGAAGGATATTCCAAACTTAGCTTTTTTTTCATTCATGGCATATTTAGCAGAGATGTTCTTAGAGATATGATGCAAAGATATTTGTCACTATCCTGTAATAATGGCCCACGTTATTACCATTAACATAAAGGGGAAACCAAAACTACCTCATAAACACCAGTGCAGATGATCTTTTTATAGTTAGTAAGGCTTCTTATATTATTCAGTTATTTTCTTCCAGTCTTCATTACAAAATGAAATGGAATAACTTTTCTTTGGCTGGAGTAGGAGGAGGAAAATGACCAAGAAATTTGAGTTTTGTCCAGATTTTTTCAGGAAAAACTTTTGTTACTGTTGTAAACAACATTTTAGCAATTGTTATTTAAACAATACTCAGCTATAAACAGATCCAGCTATCAAGGTTAGCTTTCTTATAGGCTGAAAAAAGTCTTTCCTGGAGCAGTAAAACCTATTTTATGTATTTCTTAAAATTTGTTTAAAATCAGATTGTTGTGATATATTTCCCTCTTGGAATAAAAACAGATATCACTCAGAATCAAGCAAGTGGCTTTTTGATTATGCAGGTTGCATGGATTTGTATACAGTTTAACAAACATATACGCAATCAGGATGACTATTTTGGCACATATCCATTTTGCAGATGAATCTATATTCCCCATGCAAAATTGTAGAACATGAGCTGAGTTGTAGCACAATAGGTAAATGTGAACTGAGTGGACTGCTAGCAAGTTGGTTTTCTGGCATAAACACCTATACAACCTCTTTATCATGTGCCAAATTCTTCACAGAGCACTCAGTTCATATTTTCAATATGTGATTTAGTCCTTACTGCATTCATTCATGTCAATGCAGGAATAGGATCAGTAAAGCAAACCCCAAATCACTTACAGGATCTAACTGCCTTTTCTTGTTGGGAATTTCAATTGCTGTAATCCATTTTCTAAGATCTAGACCAGCACCAAAGATATGTGAATGCATGTATGTAGGTAAATATTTAGCAGCTCAGAATCTGGGGCTGTCATGAGTCTTCAAACAACCTCAGGGCCAAATCACACAAGGCAGTATAGGATTTGCAAGTGATGAGCAGAGGATTTGCTCATAGGCATAATTATCTCATTATTGTTATTTGTTGCAAATGCATCTTTCCTGGAACGTTGATTGCAGAATTGCCTTTTATTGAAGAACTATCCAGCCCCATGAGGGTTGCAACTGCAGCATCAACAGGGTACAAATCCAAGATGCCAACCCAAGAAGAGAAGTCCATGTAGAAGAAGCCATTGCCTCCTTAATGGAAAGCAGTTAATCCAGCTTGAGGTGTGAAGTTGGCCAAAGTTCTCTTATCATGTTACACTTGGGTGTTTTTTCTAAAGATTCTAAGAGCCAGATATGGACCGTTTTTACTCTAATCTTGAGAACAGTGAATCCATTGCATGAGAACATTCCAAAGGAAACATCAACTTTCAAGCTGCACATTGGCACATATTAAGATATGGTCAACTCTTCCTCTGCTTATAGCCATGTGGTGCAGCTCTATTAGGACATTTTTCAAAGGAAAGCTATTCTGTACCCAAACGAATGGCCTTGGGCTGGCTTTATTGCATAAACCCATCCTCATATGAAAACACATTTCCGACTAAATACCAGATTTGATGCAGATTGAAAGGAAAGTATGCTGTACCTTTGCATCTTACTTTTGAATCTCACGGTTCTGCATGGTTAAATAGTTCAAGAAATTTCTGTGTGCTCCAATCTTTTATATTTAGATATCAAGTGTTTAGTTAACATTTGTTTGACACTGTCACCAGAGATCTTTTTATTACAAATATTTTTTCCCATTTCTGGTCAGCCATGTCTCTATATATGACATCACAATGAATCCATTACCGGTTTCTTGATATATATGTGACGTATATGATTCATATTACCTTAGTTGGTTTGCCTACTCAAGCAAGCAAACATTTTGGGTATTTTTCTTGCATATCAAATTTCTGGTCAGCATACATCCTTCCCCAACTCAATTGCTTTAGTTTTTCTTTTCTCTTTTTTATGTCCACGAATTTCCTTCAAGCCACTGGACAATCTAGAATCACTATAAACAAGTATACTCTATAGTCTACTTAAGAAAATAGATATATTTTATGTAATAAATATTAAGATCCATGCAACAAATATCCATGCAGCTGTACTGTAATACTGGTTAAATGTCTCTGCAGAATAAATATATTCTAGGCCACAGCTTATTTGCTCCAGCATTTGAAACAATATGCTTTTCAGTTCTGCATATGTAGGTGACACCACCACCACCACCACCCCCAAAAAAAACCCCAACAAAAATGTGTGCTTTTTAAAAACAAACGTCTCCAGGATCTTGGTGAGTCTCGACTAAAGAAACAACAATAACAAAATTTTCCTACCAAACAGTGCCTCCTGCAATCCTCACACTGACATGCTGCAGTAGATGTATCCAATGCAGCATTTTTGGTTCAGAAGCATAATCTGCATGGTACAGTCTTTTACTGGCATTTCTGATCTGGAAAACCTGAACTTTAAAAAGTAATTTGGAGAAATGTTTCCTTTAATTAAACCATGCATGACCTTTTGTATAATTTCTGAAGCTTGAAAGCTATATAGTTGCATACTATTTCCTTGGAATAAATACTCGTTTGCATGGGTTGAGTTCTATATTTTAAATTACGTTTATCTAATTGGCATCTGTGAATAATTGTTGGTGACATGAAGAGGTTGTGGCTTTTGTTTTTCTTCAATGCCATTCATCTGATATTGTGACATAGTTTTGCCTTAAATGTTTGATATATTTGGAAACCCAGACATCTGTATTAGAAAAAAAAATTGCATGAAAGCTTGTTCAGCATTCAGTGTTAAAAAGAGTCACTTACACAACTATTGCTTTCCATGCAGAACCAATACATGTTGCAGAACATATTGTATTAACTACAGTGCAAGGTATTATGCAACATCTGCAAATGTTCCACTTGAATTTTAAGTATATTATTAGGGTTCTCTCCTTTTTATTAGCTAGACATCAGTTAACATTTTAGTTATATTAACATAGTTTGTGTTAGCTAGGGTGCAATTGGCTGTTTTCAAGTGCTCCTCTCTAAAGTCCTCATTGCTATTATTCACACCTTCTTGTATCTCCATATAATCAGACTTACTAATAGTGGAGGCACTTCTGCTTTTCTTTAGGTCAGGGGAAGAAGGGATCTTTGGGCAGCTGGTTACTTGCAAGTATTGAGCTTGCTCCTCTCCTTCTGTCTCACGGTGATAGAAGTAGTTGAAATTGGACACTATAACCGGCACTGGTAAGGCAATTGTTAGTACACCTGCAATGGCACACAAGGAGCCAACTATTTTTCCACCTATGGTCGTGGGGACCATGTCTCCATAGCCAACTGTCGTCATGGAAACCACAGCCCACCAAAAAGCATCAGGGATGCTTGGGAACTGAGAGTCAGTCTCATCAGCCTCTGCAAAATAGACAGCACTAGAGAAAAGGATGACACCAATGAAGAGGAAAAATATCAAGAGGCCTAGCTCCCTCATGCTGGCCTTAAGAGTCTGTCCCAGGATTTGCAATCCCTTGGAGTGTCTGGAAAGTTTGAAGATCCTGAACACCCTCACCAAGCGGATGACTCGAAGGATAGCAAGAGACATAGCCTGTTGACCTTGTTGGCCGTCTTCCGGTTTCTCAGCCAGCTCTGTGCCAAGTGTGATGAAGTACGGAATAATAGCAACAATATCAATGATGTTCATGATATTGGTAAAAAAACCAGCTTTGCTAGGGCAGGCAAAGAATCTCACCAGGAATTCAAAGGAGAACCAAATTATGCAGAGTGTTTCTACTATAAAGAAGGGGTCTGTGAAAGATGTTTGCTTCTGAGACCCCTTTGTGCTGTTGGAATAAGGGCTGGGGTTGCTACTGCTACCATGCATGCCTTCAGCATCATCACGGAATATAGGCAAAGTTTCTAAACAGAAACTTACGATAGAGATTAGGATGACCATGACTGAGACAATTGCTATAATCCTGGCTGGTCCAGAACTTTCTGGGTATTCAAAGAGAAGCCATACTTGTCTCTGAAATTCATTTTCTGGTAAAGGCCGTTCTTCTTCCTTGATATAACCTTCATCCTCCCGAAACATCTCCATAGCTTCTTCACCAAGTTCATAAAACCTTATTTCTTCTGAGAAGATGTCCAAGGTTACATTAACGGGCCGTCTCAGTCTGCCACCCGATTGGTAGTAATATAAAATAGCATCAAAGCTGGGTCTGTTTCGGTCAAAGAAATATTCATTCCGGAGAGGATCAAAATATCTCATTCTCTTTTTAGGATCTCCCAATAAGGTCTCAGGAAACTGAGCAAGTGTCTTAAGTTGTGTTTCAAACCGAAGGCCCGAGATATTAATAACCACTCTCTCGCAACATTCATGATCAGTTTCTGGATTATAAGTGTCCTGAGGATGACCAGGCAAAGCTGCTGCTTCATCTGTGGGATCTCCAGTAGCAACAGTCATATTTAGGCAGTTTTAATAAAAACTTTTATGAATATCTGGTGGTTGGGTGGTGTTCACTGAGATTCTAATATCCACTGGAAAGTTATGCACATGGGCTTTGATGTAGTTCATGAAAACAGGGAATTCGTGGAAAGAGTCTGTCAGCTGAAAAATAAAGAAAGAATAAAATAAGCATTTTCTCTCACACTCTTAGCCAAGCGTGTGTACATTCCGTGTGCAAATTTTCGGTTGAATTTATTTGGTCTGTATAACTTGAAGAAGGCCTCTGATCTCAAATCATGAAAAAGCTATACCATTTGAGAAAATAAAGATATCAGATGAAATACAGAAAGCTTTCTAACTGGCAAGTAGCAAATAATAGCATAGTTTATCACAACCATCACAGCATATTCTAAGAGCTTCAAAGCCCTGCCAGGTTCATTCTCTGCACTAAAGCGGTAAGATGACCCACACAGTATTTCAGCATTCACCTTGATGGTTCAGAGGTTGAGTTAAACTGTTATGTCAAACAATGGAGTGCATCATTAGCACCGTGCATTCTAGATTTTAACTTCTCAGTTGTACAACCCAGCCTCTCTCTCCTTCTCTTCCTACTTCTTCCCATTGTCTTTGCAAGCTCTCCCTGTGCTGTTGCTGCAACTTCTGTTGATCTTCTGTCATTGCCAAAGAAAGAACAACGAAGAAAAACAATTCACATTACCTCAGTCTCTGACACTGATTATCTGACCTTAGAGAGAAACACAGAGATTCGTGTTTCCAAGAGTCTCCTAAGTTCCTCTGGCAATGTGTTGAGTCAGGGAGGGAGGGGGGGAGGGAGGGAGGGAGGGAGGGAAGGAAGGAAGGAAGGAAGGAAGGAAGGAAGGAAGGAAGGTCTCAAAAATGGAAGCTATGTGTAATACTGAAGTAGAGGTTGCTTAATAAAAGGGAGGACTTCAACGCTTTTCTTTAAGGTAGTGCCTATATGAACTGAAATCCTTTCTTTATGATAAGTGGGAAGATCCCATACTCAGCAAAAAAAAAAAAAACCTGATGTCCCCGGTGTCCTCAAGAAGTATGACATTGCTTGGAAACTAGCGCTTTGCTCAAACCGGAAAGGCTATAAAACAGCATTGATAAAGATTCAGTTGTTAAATGCAGCCCTTTGCTCACTGAGTTACATTATAGGCTCTCGTTATCCTGGGTAAAACAAGAGTAGTAATTGTGACAGTGTGAAAAATAGAGATACACCTTTTTCTTCAAAATCTTTCCTCTCCCCTACACACCTTGCACATCCAAAGACACACACACACACACTCACATTGCAGTGGCAGGAATCTACACACCATTTGACATCTGTGCTGTTTGCTGTTGTCGAGTCGGCTGCAGTGTAGTCTCCGCTGGGCTTCCTTTTCAGGGAAAAAAACACAACATCGTGGGCTCTGCCATGCGTTGCTCAGCCAGCTGCGTCCGGGTTCCCATCAAAGAAGCACTGGGTTTCATTTGGCATGCAGGACATGACCGGGGATGTTCTGCTTCTGAGCACCTGAAGAATATCCCATGTGCTCTCAAGATCTCAGCCCCCAAGCCCCCCTCCTGGGGTTGCCCTACCCTTCGCTGGATGCTGCATCACCAGTCCTCCTGCCTCTGGTTGGACTTCTGGGAGGGGATGCTCAGTGCCCTTAGAGCCACAGGCTGCTATCCTGCCCTCTTCTCTCAGGACATGGTTAATTCTTGTTGTTCATAAGAACAACCAAAGGCTTCCTGCTTTCCAGGAGAAACTCCCTGGCTTCCAATCCTCCACAGAAGACAGCTGCCCTCCTTCCTCACTCACGGGCCAGGATGCAAGAATGAAGGCAGGGGAGGCAAGTCAAACACTGCTTTTTCATCCGAGTTCCTAAGAAAGAGATTTTTTTTCATGGAGCCGACCTGTCCTTTTTCTGGATACCCATCAATACCAACAGTCTGGAAGGCTTAGCTGCAGATCGACTTCTGTTGGATTTCCCCACTGCCTCCTCTCTGCTAACCTCCCTTCTTCTTATGCCTTAGAAAAATAGTACAACCCTGACAAGCTTGCAGCCTTCAACTGTTATACTTAACCCCTTGGTTACCAACACGAAGTCATCGGAGGCAATGAGATGCTCCTTTCTTGCCCTCCCTCTTTCGCTCTCCTCCTCCCTCCTCCTGTTTTGAATTGCTAAGAGAATCCAGCCCCCTTGGGAATGGAAGGTTTTTAAGGCAATATTTCTGAATGCAAAATGGTAGAGATAGCTTACAACCCTTAGATACACAAAATGGAACAAAAACACATCCAAGCTTGATGTTAGATTTCTTTTTGTTTTATCTCCACTTCATAATTACCCAAAATCATAAAGAGGTTTCAGTTTAAACCACAACCCCAGCAGCTTAATTTTTACGTTAGCTGTCCTATAGAGTTCCACATCTTAATCCCTCCGATTGCTTTAAAAGGCATCCTGTTTTAGTGTCATTATCATTCATACATATCCAATAGTTCCTTTCTCCCAAACCTCCTGCTATAACTCAGCACTTCCTGAATTCTTGCATTGCATTACAGGGAAGGAAGAATGATGTCTCATGCAAATAGGTTTGACCATCAAAGCTCTATTGAGACCAGTGTGTGTGTGTGTGTGTGTGTGTGTGTGAACCATATTAGGAAAATGAATGTAAGGTAGACCTGGATAAAAGTATCACCAGGCCAGGTGTGTGAAGCATTTCCAAAGCTACAGAACGCCTGGCATCATTTTGGAAGCATGGATCCATGTGTGGAGAAGGCCCTGTTCAGTTGAAATATGAAGCATCCATTTTCACAGTTTGAGGTAAACCTCTACTGAACCTGGGGGGGGGGGGGGGGGGGGGCTTGAGTACAGCAGCTTACAATTGGTTCTGCAGTTAGACATGCAAGGAATACATAACAAGCTTCCTTTTTGTGGTGTCCTTCCTTACCTGCAGAGCTAACTTAAAAGGGCTAGAGATCTTAGAGACAAAGAGAGTAAACTTTAACATCCCTGATAACATACCGACTATTGATCTAGAGAAGTTTTGAGTTTTGTTTGTTTGTTTGTTTTCCTTTTTCACTGGGTCCTAGAGATCGGTTCCCAAAAAATTCAGCCATCTGCTGTGGACTATTGCTGTTGCCCCCAAATGATATGACTTGATAACTCTGACATAATAATTAGTCACTAACCAAATCAGACCAAATGACAATGTGGTAGAGAAAATGACCTTATCTGATACCTCTTTAAGGGCATCTATGCACACTTCTTATGTGGAGTACATAGCATAGTATTTCTTTTTAATTTGTTTGTTAGATTATGTCCATACTTCCTTCGGGAACTCAAGAGCAGTACTCTTCTCCTATGTCTGTGGAGATTCTCAGACATCCAGGTCATGGTTGTCCAAAAGGTGCTTTTTCAAAAGGCAACTGGACTTTGTTTGGCCTTGAAAACATTTTGCTTCTCATCCAAGAAGCTTCTTCAGTTCTGACATCCTTTGTTTTATACAAGCAAATGGGACATTCCACTCACAAACAAGCATTTACAAATTACTCCATTATCCCCAGGATATGCCCAAATTATCTACACCCACACCCACCCTGGTTTAAGAACCACATTGCAGCCCTGGTCAAAAGGGCCCAGCAGAGATTATACTACCTGAGACTTCTCAGAAAACAACAACTGAATGAAAAACTGCTGGTGACCTCCTACCACCACACCATAGAGAGCATTTTAACATACTGCACCTCTGTATGGTTTGCCAATTGCACAGTGGCAAATAGAAAAGCACTCCAGAGGGTTAATGTCATTGCCTAGAAGATCATTGGTTGCCCTCTCCCCTCTTTGGAAGAGCTTTATAGCTTCCGCTGCCTTAAGAAAGTTCAAAACATCCTCAAAGATCCATCTCATCCTGGGCACCCTTTTTTTTGAACTATTACCAGCTGGCAGACGGTACAGAATAATAAAAACAAGGACAAATAGGCTGAAAAATAGCTTCTATCCCAGGGCAGTAGCTCTTTTGAATTCTGCTGTATAGTGCAATGTTGGTGTGGTGTCGGGGGGTTCCGGTTCAATGTGTGAAGGGTGAAGCATGTGTGTTTGTGTTTATTGTCATGGTCATGATGTGCACTGAAGATGGTGTTTGATTTCATTGTACGAGGTGCAATGACAATAAAGTAAACTAAACTAATTACCTTAACCACTGCATCACAAAATACTAGATAAGACTCCATGTGTGGATATATAATGAAAGTTCTATCACCAGTATTTGATAAATTAGAGGTTATCATTTGATCTACCAAGTGATTAATATAAATACATGGTTCAGTCTACAGCCCCATCTCTTCAGCTTTCAACTTTGCCTGTTTTGGGGTATCTGATCTGAGTTACCCAGCTGCAGGTGACTGCTAGATGGCAGCCAAGAGATATAAAAAAATATCTTCTTAGATGCTACCATCTAATGGTTATTTAGATTCATGCAAGCCCTTTCTGGGAACCATACAGAAGATATCACAAGCAGGCATAAACATGTGAGGAATTGTTTATAAATCTACCCGTTAATATAAACAGCCACTAGCCTGAAAAAGATGTAAATCCAAAAATATATGTATGTTAGTAAATACAATATACAAGTGTTGCCAGTCAAAAAAATCTAGTTCACACAAGTATAAACAATCTCTACAAATTAATAAAACCCCATAAGAAAATATGTTAACTATAATAACTCAGTGGGATAAATAAAAGTCAAGGCAGAAGTGGTAATGATTTTGAGGACCCAGGAATAGGGTCCCTGGCTAGGCCTTCAAGTCTTTGGGAGAGGAAAACATCTGGAAATCTTCTGGAGCATATTCAGTGTTGCTTGTTGTTTGGTCTAAATGAAAGAATGGATTTACTGAGAAAAGAGAGACTTTTAGAGTTAGAAGATTATGACCTGAGGTTTAGATGACATGGGTAGTTATGAGATGATAAAGTTAAGGTGAACTTCAAACATTATTTTATTAGACATGCCAT